AATTCCTCAGAAAACCTTTAAATCTTGTCAAACTGTGCTATATATGGGTTATTTATTTTGCATTTATTTGCACACTTATTCAAACAGCATCTGTGAATCTACTGAGACTGGAAAAGGTGAGTTTTTCATGTTATAAAAATATTTTATTTTGTCATTTTTTTTATACCTATGGTATTGAAAATATTATTGAATATTTTCCTGGGTAACAATGTTGAGTTTGAATTGTTAGGAAGGGTGAAAAACCCTCCTCTGTTTACTCCCTCATAGTAAAGGGGGCTGACTGAATATCTATAAACCATTTTCCGATGTAGATGCATCAATTTCTTCCTTCTTCTAACCATCTAATACTTCCTGTTTTGTTTTTTTTAGGACATAAACTCGTAACATGAAAAGTTCCAAATGTTTAAATACTTTTGCAGGCATTGCATCAGGATAAGAGTAAATAAAAAAATAAATGAGAATATCAGAATCAGCAGCAGCATGTAAAACACCCCCACCTTGGTCTCAAAGCCTGTCAGGAACTTCAGGTCCTTGGATTTGGAGAGGACAGTGTCCCGATCGCCCACAGAAGCTGCATAAACCACCTGGACACAGGATGTCAGAGCTCAGACAGAAAAGCAGCGTTCAGATGGAGAGACTGGGTCTCTACAGGAGGAGGATTCTGGGAAGTTAAATCCTCCGTGTTCAATTATTCACCAGGAAATCTTCCTTCATAAATCATGCATCCAGATTCCCAACAGTCAGCATACCTGTATGTAGTCATCTGTGAACGTTTCTGGGTAGCTTCTGCATGCTCCAAAGTCCAATAGGATGACCTGCAGACAGATTCGGGGTTAGGGGACACGTTTGAAAGCAGAGGCATCTGAAAGTTGCAGGACTGGAGCAATCCAGCTCAGCTTTGGGGTTTAACACCAACCCCAATGCAGATTCCTTACCTTGTTGGTTTCAGAGTTGTAGAAGAAGTTGGACCAGTTTGGGTCGGTCTGCATGAACCGGAACTCAAACAGCTCCCTCAGACACAACTGCAGGATGTTGTAACAGATCTGGTTTCTGGTTTCCTGATCCAGGTCTACGCAGCGATCCAAAGGAACTCCGTGCACCAGCTCCATGGACAGCACCCTGCGTGCCGACAACTCGTCGATCACTTCTGGGACCTGGAAAAATGGGTCCCCCTCCACCAGAGACCGGAACTTCTTGGCGCACTCGGCTTCCCTCTTATAGT